GTGCAGTGCTAGGAACAGCTAAGATACTGCGCAGAACCCTCAAGCTCCCAGGCCTCTGGTATATCTTTAGTTTAAATTGGGATATTTTAATAAATGGAAAAGGAAAATTATCCTTTTATTACCTGTGTTTACTTCTCCACATAATCACCACCATTTGCTCTACACTTAAAGCCATCATGAAAGAACTCCACACTTTTTTCTTCAAACAGATCCTGACAGTCCTTTCTACCTCTTCATTTTAGTCAAACAGATGCCCACAAAAAATATTCCAACAATTTTGGGAAAATGTGTCAAGTCTGGATTGTACGGAAAATAGGGAAAGATGGTAAGATCCAAATTCATAAATGCCTCTTGGGTGGCCTGTGAGGTGTGAGGCCTAGTATTGTCATATTGCAGCCACATTTTCTTATGGTGAAATGCCAACCTTGAAAGCAATTTCTTATTGTATTTAATCAGTTCATCAACCTTTCTCATGAGAAATTCATCAGTTGCTATTACAGATTGTCCACTTCATTCTTAATCACACAAATGAGCTCTTCCCAGTTCATACTCTTTACATTTTCTGAACAGTACTCAAGTCAACACATAAACAAACTGCATTGGGCAGTATATTTCAATTGGAGGAACTCCTTCAGCAAATCAAAAAATCAATATTATTATGCTTAAAGTGCACTGACATCTAGTCACTGTAGGCTTCCATTTCAGAAAAAATAGCAACACAATCTTTTCTCAGTACCTCTTGTCAATGTAAGTGAAAGAACAGATGCTAAAGAACATGTCAGAACTTCTAGTGCATCAGTATTGCCAACTTACACTGAATGCATTAGTTTTCAGTCAACCCTTGCAATTTTCCAGTATATGAAATGTCTTCATGCAGAAGTTGTTCCAGAGAACTGGATGGAAAATGTTAGCTTTAGACAGTTATTTTGTTTTGTTTTGTTTTCATGTCAGCAGATGGTGGACACTGCTTCTCTGGGAATACTTCAGCAGGGGCTGGACAACCATCTATTTGCAATACTTTAATAAAGGGCTCCTCAACCTTTCTGTGCATAACTTGCATTTTTAAAGTGCAGTTGGTGCAATCCGAAAGCAGTTGCTGCAGAAGCAAGATTAGTCACAAACTATACTCTCTCTATATATTTTCTCTCATGCAGAATAAGAAGTGAGACAAAACAAGAGTGGAGAGGAAAACAGAAAAGGCAGGGATTGAAATGAAGTGGAGGGAAAGAATGATAATAAATAGGGGAATATTTTTCCTATAATGCCACTGAATGAAGGAAATAACTTAACTCTCTTGCAAAGGGAAGAAATATGTACTAAGCAACTCAACCTGATACCAAAGGTGCAGTTGTGCCTTGTTTGCCATATTCTTTATTGTAGATCCTGGGTGAAAAAGGGTTGGTCTCCAATATCCTTTCAAATTCTGTAATACCATAAACATAATACATGGAAAAGAAACTGCTTTCTGACCATTCTTATTTTTTTTTTCTTTTCTGATAGGATTTCAGTTATAATTAATGGATGAAAATTAAGATTTATTCAGACAAGCTGGTGGTCCTTTTGATAGATTTTACTGTTAGTTTTCATTCTTGGGATGAGGTTTTATATCCTAATTAGAAACAGGTTTAGAGCATTAGGTGCCTCCCTGAAAATGAGTATAAGACTAATTTGTACAATTCAAATGTCTTCAATATGGGTCTTTCTTGATTTGTCTCAATATTTGAAGCTGAAGTGAATGAATACAACAGTAACATCTGTTAAAATAAAATCTGTGTTTTGCCTGTAGACTTCAAGACCCAGCTTCATTTGTCAAGCACCTATAACATCAATATTTCTATGTAATTAAAATATTTTTATTTTCTCAGGCAGATGGTGGCACTTGTTTCCTCTTTCTTCTGTGGATTTGCTGCTGAGTTACTGCTTTCATAGTACTTTTATAGCTGTTTTATTTTACTTCTGTGGATTTGCTGCTGAGTTACTGCTTTCATAGTACTTTTATAGCTGTTTTATTTTACTTCTGTGGATTTGCTGCTGAGTTACTGCTTTCATAGTACTTTTATAGCTGTTTTATTTTACTTCTGTGGATTTGCTGCTGAGTTACTGCTTTCATAGTACTTTTATAGCTGTTTTATTTTAATAATGTGAGCTGCTGAAGCAGAATATATTTTAATAAATGGTGGTATCTGTAAGAAAATTAATTTGAGTGTTTTATAGTGAATTATATTTATTTGTCTGTAAATATAGGTCCCATGTCCTACTGGTGCAGATATCAAAAAATTGTGGACCAACAGAGAGGTATCAACAAACTATCAACAAAGATATGTAGGAGTAGTGCCTTCCAATCTTTTTATTATTTCTGATGATGAAGATGCATTAACAGCAATGAAGTGGCTAAAAGAAAATGTGATTGATTCCACAGGTAACAATTTTGCCAACTACTACATGAAGAGAGCAGAGGTTTATGCATTTCTTGGCAAGTTGTACCTCCATTTCTAGCATATAATTATAGCATAATTAATCCTTGCAAAATGTTTCATCTGCTCTTATTTATTTTACAGATTAATTTACAACTTACTGTCAGTTTTGGAAACATTTATATTTCTTGCTTGGAACAAAGGCTGAAAATAAAAATTGCCTATAATTATTTTATGAAATTAGATTAAATGAAATGAAAGCCCTAAGAGCAAAGTCTGGGATTGTTAATTAACACATGAGATAGTGATTTCATTAGTAAATGTATTTTGCAGCTACACACAAGTTTTTCAAGCTGAAAAAAGCTGGAAAGGAAATAAAATTTGACTTTTCTGGAGTTAATGTAGAATTATTTGCACACTGTAAAAAGTATTAGAGTTGGCTAACACCATGCATGTTGTGTTTATATGGATACACATGCACCGTTTCATAAAGTTGCATGTACCTAATTCAGTTGTATATTTTGGTTGGGTTCTGTAAATCTATATATGATATTTTCATTACCTAGAAATGGAATGGCATATAGATTTCGATATTTAAAGCAAGTAGTGGATCTGCTTAATTTCAGTTTTCTATATACTGTATATGGGATGAGATCCCACGGTGTCCTTAGTGCTTGCAGATGAGCAGTAGAAATAACTTCCTTTAGACTTCTGGTTTTCCACTTCCAACCTGTTTCCCCAAAGCTAGCCAATTATCACATCAGCTGCCTCATGGGAATCAGATGATTTCTGTTGCTATATGTACATGAATGGATGGCAGAAGAGCTGAATGCAAAGAATAAATTCATTTTAGCTAAATTTATTGCATTCATTTCCCCAAATAATTTCTAACTTGTCATTTTGTAAAAGGGATATTTTGTGGTGCTATATGGAGCGAAATATACAGCTAGGTATTTGGACATAAAACATAACCTGTACCTTATACTCAGCTTGTGCTTTCTGCAGTTACAGGTGCCACTGATTTCACCTGCCTGCCTCTGTGGGAGTAATTTTTGTTGAGGTACGACTTCTGAGTGGATGTGCATGAGGCTAGATGGCAAGGCTAGAATCCTTAGCTCAGCTATGCTCTCTGCCAAACTGCTTTATTCCCTGCCCTATCCCTTTGCTTTCTGTTGAGATACCTCTAAAAATGTTTAAAGTCTTAGGGTGGCATGTTGATTTTGACTGGCTGTGGTGTTGGCAAGAGGATTGGAGGCCCAGTAGCACTACAACTGCCATCCCAGCAATGATCAGGGTGCTAAGTCACCATTGAGGCTCTCTCCACTGGTCACTCAAGGCAGAAGCTGGGAAGGAGCCACCAGTCAGAAAGAGGAAGCGTTGCTGTTGTCAACAGTACTGAGGTTCAGTTTTTGTCCAGTCACCATTAGGTGTTATGGAGGAGGCACAGGTAAATCTTCTGAGCTGGGATTAGATAGTAGTAGTTTCAGTTGCAAGCGGCTCCAGAAGTGGCTGCTGACAGCTGCTGCTTCTTAGCCCTTTTTCTTTTGAGCTCCCTCACTTTCTGATTGGAAATAGGGTTCAGTATCACTCCCTCCTCCATTGAGGAGTCTCTGGCAGGTCACCTCTTTTTTTTCCACTTATGCTTCTGCAGTGGTAGATGCCATCAATTTCTCCTGCCTACCTCTTTGGGAATTATTTCTGTTGGGCTAGGACTTCTGAGTAAATCATCAGTCTAAATGGCAGGGCTAGAATCCTCCACTCCTTTTTCAGTCTTGCTGTATAGCAAAGTAAATCAAGGTCTGTATGGAGCCAGGACTTTTATGGATATACCATAGCATTTCATTTTGCTCATTCATAACAAAGTGCTTGTATCTTGATTCGTGTGAAACCAAACAGAATGTTTTTTACACCTAGCTTTATGTATCACAAGAACAATGAATAGCTTTACTTGTACAGATAATGTCTTTTGTTTGAGGAACCAAGCGTTACCTTTTGTGGAGCAAGTGATTGGATGTGATACTGTGCACAATCTCCTGCTCTTATCTGCAGTGACAGGAAGGATGCGTGTTCAATCTGTCTCATTTCCCCGTTTAGTTCATTTGATTGATGTTAGGGAAGGACTGTTCCCTCATTGACAAACCCTGCTTCAGTCTCACTTACTAATGACTTATTCTGTTAGATCTGCCTCTTTGGGACCTGAGAGACAGACTGTGTTCTGGGGAGAAGAAATGTAAAGAACATTTTGCATGCTATACTATTCAGGGAAAAGTGTCCTTACTTTTGATTGTGATTCAGTGAGCAGTGCCATGTGTGTGTCCTTCTTTGTGTGTGTGTGTGTGTACATGTGCACACAAGTGTACTATTTTGTTTCTGAGTGTGTCTATGAGTTTGTAACATTCTTACTCATTTTTTAAAAATGTATGGAATGCACGTTGCCTCTCTTTGTACTATCCACCTAACAATCCTCTGAGGAGAGTTAGGTTATGAAGAAAGGTTGTGTTTATATGACACACTGAACCACAGACTGCTGTGTCATCTTAGCCAAAGTTGATAATTTATGGTTTGTTGTTGTGTTGTACAAATGTATAAATTAAGGTAAATTGAACAGCCTTTTATTTATTTATTTTTTTAATTTAGTGTTGACATGCAAAAAACCCCTGTAATGCCAGCAAGAAAAAAAAAGATACTGATTACACACAAAAAAAGTCCCTAGATATATTATAGTCATTAAAATTAACTAAATGTGACAAAGAAAAACTAACAGAGAAACAAAAAGAGAAAAGATCAATATAATATCCAGAGATAGTGATATAAAATGAATTCAGCCCTTAAGCTTATTATTAAATCTAGACCATACAGAAACATATTGCTTCATCTTCTCATTTTTAGAACAGAGACTTTTCAAAAATAGATACCAGACTTATATCCTGGATCCATTCCTTAAAATCAGGAGAGTGAGTTTCTTTCCAAATGACATTAAAGTATCCTCTTTGCCATGTCCTGTGCTTAGTATAACCAAAGATCTTCATGAGATGACAGATTCCATGTTTCAGGAATATAGTTCAACATCACATTAAGATCCTTAGCTATAATATGTCTTCCCAAAATTATACTAACATATGTAGTGGTTTGAAGCCAAAGAAGGGCTATATCTAGAGAAAACCAGAACATCTGTGTTAAACAACCTTTAATTTCTCACAACACCAGCACAAACAAAATCTAATGCCTATCCCTTTTTAAATATTCTTTGAGGGTCCAATAAATATGACATAATCTTTTCTGATGAATTAGTTTCAATTTTAAATTATAAGTATGTTTTACATTTCTTAACGCTTCAACCCATTGATTCTCCAAAATTGGATATTCCAATTCTTTGTTCCACAATTCAATTACTTAACTAATACTTTCATTTTACTTTTTAATTCCTTATAAAATTGAATTGTTAGTTTCTGTTTAAGTGCTGCATCTCTTAAGAACCCTAAAATTTCAGGTACTTTTTTACTAGTACATGTTTCAGTTCTGCATATAATTGAGCAAATATTGTAAGGGAAGTCATAATCAACACGCACTCTCCCGAAGTCTTTAATACAATCATTAGAAATAAAATGAGTTAAAGAATTGATCCCTTGATTAGCCCAAGCATTCCAATAAAACATCTTCCCTGTGGTTTTCAAATTTGGGTTATTTTGCAATGTCAGTTTCTCATGTGATTCAAGATTAAAACGTTACTGCTTACATATTAATGACCAATGTGCCAGACAGCTTTCAAGGCTGGAAACTAAGTTCCCTCTTTAGTATACCCGGACCGTAAAACTTGCCAAATACACCTGTTTTCCAAATAGGTCCCAAAAGGGAATACTGTATTCATAAAAGATCTCATTCCCCCCCCCACAAAAAAAGTTAACTTAAAAGCTCAATGATGTAATAGTACTACTTTCTGAAGTCTCTTGGCTAGTGTTCAAGTTAATATTTTAGCATCTATATTAAACAAAAGTATTAGTCTATAGCTTGCATATCTAGTAAGGTCTTTCCCAGGCCCTCAGGCCTTGACATTATTGTAATATATGCTTCATAAAATGATAAAGGAAACATTAAAAAAAGAAATTATTGATTTTAGACCTCTAACAATATAGGTGCCAGTACATCTATGAAAGTCTGTACATTCAACTCGAACTCTATCTGGTCTGAGAGCTTTTACTGGTTTTATAGACTGAGATATCTCTAATTTCTTGTAATTTCAATGGTTCTGGCAGTTTATTTTTATCTTCCTGAGAGATCTCTTCTATTTCAGCTTTTACCAGAAAATTGATAATTTGTTGTTCAATTATAGACAACTATAATAGATACCGCTGAGTATAAAAATCATAAACTTGTAACTGATAGAGTCAGTGTCAGTAAATACATCCATAATTGGCCTGAGTTGCAGATTTAAAATTTTTTGTTTTTTAAATTTCAAACAATATGTGACTAATTTTCCAGCTTTCTCTCCTGATACCCAGTGTATCTGGGTAATTCATTTCAGGGAGTATTCAAACTCTTCTGAGGGCAGAAGCCTCAGTTTAAACTTTGTTGCTGCAAATAATTAATATGATTTGTGAGGTTTCTAGCATGTACAAAAGTGAATCTTTAACTGTCTTTTTCAGATGTATAAGATTAGAGTCACTGAGTCTCTTTTTTGCCAAGGAAAAGAGATAATTAGGTGCTTAGATAGAAAGATCAATATACTGGTAGAGACTTCGTTTATTTAAAAAAAACAAAAATGAAAATCTTGTAGAAGAAACATTCAAATACGAGGTAGTCCTCGTTTAGCGACCACTGATTGTAATAGCAAACAGGTGACAGAGAGAGAGAGATGCTGGGAAGTTACTCTTTCATCACCATTGTAACTGCGAACGATTGCTGTCTGAGGCAGTCACTAAACAAGGACTACCTGCACCATCTAGAATTGGCTGATTTATAATGATTAAACTTCCCAGTTACAGTCACCGAAGCATGGTCTGAGATT